CTAATATTAAGACTATTTACTTTTATAACAAATTAGATTATTAAAGATTAAAAGAAAAAAGAAAAAAGATCTTAGATTTAAGAAGGCTCCAAAATAAGTAAAAAAATCTTATGTATAAGTATAGATATGATATTAGTAAACACATGTAGAAACCATCTATGAATCTTGTAAATAAAATAAATAAAATTTATGCTTTTTATTGATAACATCCATCAAAATCAAAATCAAAAAATAAAAATATAATATATATATATATATATATATATAAAGCAAAGGAAATTTAATAAAGATTATATTCTATTTTTTATTCTAATTTGTGATTTTTTTATATTTGTGGCACTAAAAAGATAGAAAATCATTAAATAAGAAAATTCAATTTAGGACCTATTTTTTGCTGAGACATCTCATAAGATATTAAGATTGTCACAACCTTTAAAATATTATAATAGAGATGAAGATCATCAAAAACAACATATTTTCTTTTGAATTGATGGCAAGATATAATACATTTGATATTATAACATTGAAAGAAAATTACAATATTTTGTAATATTATTGTAGGTAGAAAGTATTTTTTATAATATTTTAAATGTTTTATTTGAAAGAAGTTATAAAAACCTCAACAATAAAATAACATAGAATTCTTTATGCCTTAGTATAAAAAAATTATAAATGGCTGAGAGGGCCTATCAACTAGCTTTAAAAAAAAAAAATCAAGATATATGGCAAGTATAATTTGTTAGAACTTAGACTTCTTCAATCTTGTAGAACTTGTTCTTAAAAAGAAGATAATGTCAAAAATATAACTAATATTAGAAATTACTTAGATAAAAGAAATTATATAAAAATAAATAAAAAAGAAAAAATTAAATAATATCTTCTAAAAAAAACGTTTATAGAAGTTTTATAGATCCAAATTTGACTTTATACATATTTGTAGGTAATTGAAAGGTTGAAAACTTGGCCAACAAGTTGACTATGTATTGTAAATATTATCTACTTATGATATAAGTTGGTCATGTCGCACACATATAAGAAAATTATCTTGCAAGTTAGACATGTATTGAAGGTTCTATAGAACGTTGTTATTATTGTGTAGTAATACAATTATTAGGTGAAAAATTTTATAAATTATATTTTAAATAGATATAAATAAAAGATAAAGAAATAATAAATATATTTATATTAATCTTTTGTTTTTATAAAAAAATAACTTCTTCTTATTTTATAAATCCATAAAAAAGATAAAATAAAGTAGATTAAAAATATTAATGATAAAATCATCTTTAAAAAAATTAATAGTATTTTTAAACAAAAATTATCTTAAAAAATAAAAAAATAATATTTAAAGAGAATTCATTACAAACCAAGGTCAAAATCAGACATCAAGGTACAAAACCATGTACTTATTGCAATTATAGGATTTATTTTGTTGATTGAAGAATAAGTTTTAATAAAAAAATTCTAAGATTTTTTTAGTATTTATTTTGGTTAATTAGCTTGATGTTGAGTTATTAAAACTATACAAAGATGGACATATTTTAAGTAATATGGAATTTTAAGAAATAAAAAAGAATTTATATTTTTTTTAAATATAAATATTTTAGCAAATTAATAGATGAAAAATTATAAAATTTTGAATTTTCTTGTCTTTAATGTATTATACAAGTTTGAGGTCAACAAAAAAATGAAACTAAGGATTATTAAAATTCAATTAAATTAGAGTGTCAAAATTTGGATTTCAAAGCTTAGAGACAATTTCTTTGGTTCTATGCAATTTGTTGATCCAATCTTAATACAAATAATTTAGCTTGTAATTAAATTAAGTTTAAATATATCCTTAAAGTTTTAAATCAATTAAATTGTGCAATAAAGAGTTATGATCATTAATAGATTAATATCAAGGTTGAAAAAAGAAGATGCTTGAAATCCAAACAAATTAAGAGTCTTTTCACTCAATTGATAAATTGGATTCTTTTGAAAATTACTTTTCTTATTATTAACTATTATATTTTAATATATAAAAAAAATTAAAGTAAAATGAATGGTTTAATCAATCATTTTTTGGATTTTAAAATTGCTATAGAATTTAATTAAGATTGATTAGAGTTTGTTTATAATATCTTTAGGATTTGGTAATATATATATATGTTATTAAGTTTATTTATTTTTAGTTCTATCTATAGGATAAAAAAATATGAATTATACTTTAAAAAGACATAAGTAAAAGATCAGAAGGTAGTAAATATATTTAGTATTAGTTTCTTTTTTTTTAACTTCTACTTACTTTGTGGAATCATAAACAAAACAAAATTAAGTGATTTAGGACAATAAGTAATGTAGAAATCGCTAAAACAAGATAGGAGATTAATTTCTAGCAAAAATTACTTTAATAAGCTATAACTTTAAATTCAAAAAGGAGTAATTGTGAACTATAATCAAAACCAATCTCTAGACACAAAATTGTGCACCTATAACAAATATACTGCTTTTTTGTTGATTGAAGGGCAAGGTTAGAGGGCAGACTCTAGTATTTTTCTAAGCAATGATTTTAGGTGAATTGGACTTATATTAAGTTATTGAGAGCTTTCTAAAATTAGAAATATTTGAAGTAATTTAGGATTTTAAGAAATAAAAAAGAATTTAGCATATTATCTCTATAACAAAAACAAGAAGCTTTAATTCTACTATATGTAGATCTATGTACATAGTATTGCTAATACTACCACACATTTTGCTACTTGTACCAAAACTTATTCTAAATTAAAATTATTATTATTATTATTATTAAAACTATATTTTATTTTTATTTCAAGAAATATATATATATATATATATATATATATATATATAATATAAGTTCTTATTAAAATAAATAAATAAAAACTAAAGTAATATGTTGAATAGGTAGTGGATTGTGGTGGCAATATCAAAAACTATGTTAACATGTAGTGGATGGCAATAATAAAAACTGTAGTGGCAATCGTAAGATTTGTAGTAGTGACAACAACAAAAATTGTGGTGGAATTAGCAATAACCACATATATATATATATATATATATATATATATAATGTTTTTGCTATTGTTGTGGCCAATTGAAGATTTAGAGGTTTATGGCCTTTAACAAAGACCTATTAGGAGAAGATTAAATACTATTGCTTTTCTTATGGTCATGTAGATGAGATTTAAAGTTGATTCATGAAATTATTTATGTGCTATTAAAAACACCACAATCCTCTGTAGGTATATAGTTGGTGATTATAAATTTCCATCTTTAAAAATATACAGTAAAAATAGAAATATAAATACATTCGGTGTTGGGGAGAGGCCCAATCCACGTACGCAGTGGACTTGGCCAAAGGGAGTGGAAACGGTCTTAGGGGTGGGGCCCATGCCCCCTCGGGGCGGCGTCCCACCGTTTTCCCCCCCCCCCCCTTTCCCACCACCACCAAGTCGGTGGGGCCTCTTTTTGGTACCTTCAAGTCCCAATTAATGAATGAACGCCTTTTGGAGGCATTCACTCTAGTTCTTCATAGGGGGAAGGGGATTAGGGTTTGCACAAGGACTTTAGGGTCTAGGATTCGTAGGACAACAATACGATCCACACAATTATCAATAAATCAATAAATCAGTGTTTTTATTTTTATTCTTGGAAACATACATTATTGGGAAGTGAAAATTTAGTGAGCAAAAATTAACCAATTAAAGAAAGTTTGATGTTCTGGAATATTGGACATATTGTCAAATATTGGTACACTAAATTAAAGCTTGTGACATGTATATATTATTGACATAGATACTATATCTCATTTCATTGTTTTATGTTTATTCTACTCTTTAATATATATATATATATATATATATATATGTGTGTATGCATTTTTAGTTTATGTTTTTATTGATCATCAATGTTTTCTTCATCCCTGGAAAATTCTATGATTTTTTCTTGATGTAATTATGTAAATTTTTGGAATTAATATTTATTCAGAAGTTTAAATCAATAATAACAACATATTCATGTGTTATTTTTATATATCTTAAATATATAGAGCACATGAAAATATTTGTGAAAGAGGCTATATCCTGATTAAAGCTTTTAAAAAGTACTGACACTTGTAATTGTTAAATGACTAAACTATTAACAACTTAAAATCAGTCACTTTAATTGCTTAAATTATTCATTGCAGTCTCCAAAATAAATAGCGAACCAATATTACCTACAAAGAAAATAAAACATGTTAATGTAGTCATTTGAATTCTAGATACCTTGCCTGCATTACATTTCAAAACATACAAAATTTGAGTGTTTGAATAAATGCATTAAATGTTATTCAACCTTGTAAGCCATATAACTCCTCTTGTAAAACAATAGATAATCTATTCTTTTGAATGTGATTGCAAGAACGAAATAATAAAGTAGACAGGATGTACACAAAGATTTCTACAAAAGAACTTAGTGTCATAGGTGGAAAGCTAGAACTTAGCTTACACCCACTGCAAGATTTGTTAAAACAATTTACAGAAGAATGTATACTTTTGCAGCCCCAAACAAGTTTGAAAGAAGAGGAAAAGAGAACGAAAGAGAAGACAAATTCACACCGAATCCCTTCCTGATGAGGCACTTGCGTTGTTTAATAAAACAAAACAAAACAAAACGCAAACTCCAATGCAGTTCTGGTCATGCGATGACTCAGCAGAGCAGGGGGAGGATCTCATGCCTTACTGTCAATCCATCCTATCCAGGACACACACACTTATACACACACCAGGATATACTTGCAGGAAAAACTCAGTAATCCAGCCCCTGCCAGTTGGGTATAACAAAACAATAACAAAACCATGTCACAAGAATAACAATAATAATAATAATAAGAGGAAGAGGAATGAAAATCCTTTTTCTTACGGTGCGCTGTGACGCATCAAAAGACTGGAGTACGGTGAGAAGGGAGCTGCTCAAGTGGTGGTGCAGGGAGGCGACCAAGTCGCCATCTGATCCGATGCCTGCTCAGCGATGTTGCCCGCAGTGTGCTTTTTGCAGCATCTGCACCAGCCTCCATAATCATTCAAGGAGAAAGCACCACGATGAATACTAACAATAACAACAACAGCAGAAGCAGCAGCAGCAGCAGCAGCAACAGAGGCAGCAACTAACTGCTGAGTGTGCAGCAAGAATGATGCCTAGATTGCAGTGTTTTGGCTGCCATGAGATGAGAGCTTCTGCTGTTGGAAGCCGTATGGATTAGTGTAAGAGCTGAGTTTTGGTGTATTTTGTGATTTATTTTTTTTATTTTTTTAGTTCTTTTATAAATATTTGGAATGATTGCACTGGTTGGCCGTGGATTAGGATCAGGATCAGGTACCGTCGCCAGAGGACTGTTCCCATGATAATGGGAAGTACCTGGAAGGCTATTCCACAAAATGACTACTTACAACTACTGCTTGCAGTTCAGCAGTGGTACTGGTCTATAAACAAACAGATTGAACTGGGGTTCTTGTACAGCACCGCACAACACCGAAAGCTCATGGCCTGGATCAAAAGAACGCAGGGCTGCAGTGTGAAGTGCTGTGCAGTAGCTACTAGCTAAACTAACTTTGTACACATACGCACAGAGGGTGAGATTCACACTGTGAGGAAGAAGAAGAAGAAGAAGAAGAAGAAGAAGAATTGCGGATACACGGCCACCTCAACGGTGCCTGTCGCTAAAAATCTCATGGCTGCGCTCACTAGGAGCAGGAAGATCGCCGCTGCTGCAGCTCGCTATTTGGCCCATGCAACCTAAGGAGCTGTAGGAAGAAGAATCAGCACTGGCAGCAGCTTTTGGGGCGATGCTCACATGCTCTTGCTTCGTTTCAAGGGACTCATGGAAACGGCCCGTGGCGGCCTATTTCCCATTCAACAGCTGGAACGTTAGGTTGTGAAGGTGAATGACAAGCTCTAGTCTGTGGATGTTTCAGCTGTCGAAAGTTACGCACCGTATCCAGGGCCTGAACCTGGTCACCCTGAGTCCCCTTAGTGAAGCTGAATTCCGAGTTTTCACTGCGTTTTTTAGCTGCGTTTGTTTCTGAATTCTCTTCTGGGAGTTTGCGTGGGTGAGTTCGTTGCATTCTGTTTTCTTTAGTTCTGCAAAGAGATGCTGATTCAGGTGCAATAATGAAGGCAAGAGAGAGAAAGAAAAGGTGATACTTCGGTACGCCACTGCGGGTACAAAGTTGATGGGGAAAAGGGAAGCATGGCAATGGCTAGAATTCAGTGAGTCCCACCATAGCCGCTGTTGTCACTCGTGCATGGACTACAATCCAGAGGATCCAGGAGTTCACAGCTGCTGCTGCTGCTGCTGCTGCTGGGCCAGGGTTGCAGTCTTCCGCCACCACAGACGCCGCCTCGATGCTAATACCTCCAGCAGGAAGGCACTACCTGTATCTCTCCACCTCTGGTTCTCATTCCTGCCGAAATCACCAACCGGTGGCTGCGGTTGCAATGGAAGTTTAGCAAAAACCGAAATCTTCCGGTAGGTGGTCCCTGGACGAAGGACACCGGTCCGTTATTTACCGGCCTCGAACTTAACACCCACCGCGAATTCGGATCCTGTTTTGTTTTGTTATGATAACTGCGGGGTCGATGCGAGATCCCCTCTGGTGGTCCCTGCTAGTCCATCTCCCCTCCAGTTGGTAATTGCTACAGATGAGCTGGAGGATCGGTCTCAAGGACATCAGGTTTAGACCTCGCGCTGCTGTTCCTTGGTTTGCCAGTGGGCGGGTTCATTCAATTGGTTGTCTGATGTTCATGAAGAGCCGCCGATGCTCGTCCGATGTGTGGGCTAACTTTTTCCAATATTCCGTCCTCTAGACATACTCGCCGAGAATTCGTGATAGCAAGTTTTGATTGTTCATCGCTTTCGTTCCCATCTGCATCAAGGCTCACGAATTCGTTTAGCGACAGTGTAGGAAGAACTCATTTCAGTTGCCCGGGAATTGTAGAAGGAGGCGATCACTTTTCCTCTTTGAGTTTCAGTCTGACGCCTGGAAAATTTTCTGAAAACTTTTTAGGATCAGAATTTTGGATGTGGGCGTAGCCCAGCTGGAGGTGCAATCGCTCAAATCTGTTGCATGATCTGGTTTTGAGTCCCACACCTACAGAGGTGTTAGGAGGCGGATCATTGTGGAGTAAAGCTCACAGCTGCTCGAAGTCGCTGCAAGGGGATCAAAAATGCCAGAGGTGCGCCATTCTGTGCAGCACCCTCCTGTCAATGTTAATGATGAACCACATACTGATTCTCAAGTGTCATTTGTCCCGTCCATTAGCTTGTGGAAGGTATGCATACTACATCCTCTTACTCGCTTGAAGTTGGTTCTGGTTTGCAAGGTTGCTTAAAACAAATTTGTGCCAGGCGAACATGCCGCAGCACCTCCTCCAAAACGGGGACCTGAGCAGTGCAAGACAGTCTGCTCTGATTCACCCCACTCGTGTAGATAGTTTAAGATCACATGGAAGCACAGGCTTTTCACTGTGATATGTAACGCATCCTTAGCAACCACGTGAGGTTCGACAACCACAGCCTTAAAAAATATGTAGACAAATTCCCAAACTGCCTGCAAAATGTAGAAAAGAATCCGACCCACGGATGCAATTAGCCATTCAATACATCGGTCTTGATTTACCGAAGAAACCAGAATTTAGACTTAGATTCTGTGGAAGAGCAAAGGTTATGGACAGTGCGCTCACGTATTAGACTGGATCCTCAGCACACAGAGTTGAGGGCCGCAAGTCCAAGACCTGTGAGGTATTAGATACCTGAAGCATAGCATAGGTAATTGAACTCGGTCTAAGTAGCAGTGAGCGTGTCGATTTAATAGTCGATTTCACAGGACGAATGTTATCATGGCATCCTTAGATAAGCTCGAAGTATACCTGACAATGGGAACACCCCCGATTCCGTAGACTTCGCTCCTTCTTCGAGGACTTGACCAAGTCCACACAGTATATACATACATATATACCAGGTGAAAAGAAACTGCCGCCTTACCCCAAAGCTCACGCGACCCATGGACGTTCCAAAATGTTATTCTCATTAAGTCTTCCCCTTTTGTCTTCTGTGCTGCTCCAAAAACATAATTATACTCCCATGTTACGTAGGTCTGATAAATGCTTGCTTAAAGTAAGCAAGTTCACAAGATGCTGGTGTCTCATCACATGTTCTGAAAAATGGCTAGGTTTAAATTCTGAAGCCAGAGAGCATTGGTGGCCAATTTCCGAGCTCTGCATCATTGTCTGATAAATGAGTTTGCTTGCAATTTTCAAGCCTCGAAGAACACCAAGGTGTGGCAGTAAGACACTGACGCTATTTCTATTGGTGTCCATGCACTCACATGGACGCAATTTTTCATATCGTCTGTAGGTGGTGGAGCTCTACGTGGTGATGCACTGTGAAGCCTGTGCAGCTTCTGTGAAAAGAGCTGTCAAAAAGATACCTGGTACTCTCTGTGTTCCTCTGAAAGTGGCCGAACTCATGGCTAAGAGTACAAGTCCATCCTTTTTTCAATACTCTGAAACAAATTGTTTCAACGGAAGTTTGATAGAGGTTCAATGTAGCTCCAATGTAGTGATTCAAAGACTTTTGAGGAAGGATGTCTGACACAGTCATGCCTTCGCATTTGCAACGATTTGCAGGTGTTGAGTCTTCCAAAATAGATTATTGCGGACAGAAGGTGACGGTAACAGGAAACGTGGACAAGGAGAATGTTTGGCGGCACATCCGCAAGACAGGGAAGCGCGTCGCACTGATCTCCAAGCCTGAACCGCCGAAGGAAGAGCCCAAGAAGGCTGAGAAGAAAGTAGAAAGCAAGGAGGTGAAAAAGGAAGACGAGAAAGAGAGGGACAACAAGTTGGAGGAGAAGAACGCAGTTCCGATTGATGAAAAGAAACAGGAAAAAACTGAAGAGACAGAAGAGACCAATCTTCTGGAGAGGAAAGAAGTAAATATTTGCATGACTTCCCTAATTTCAAACACAATTTTGCCTCTAGTTTTTTGCATATATCCGCAGTTGCATCTAAAAGTATTATACATCGATATATATGCTCACGAAGTCAATGTACTGTAGTAGAGTCACCTCCGACATTTAGTTTTGCAACGTGTGTGCCGTCGATACCACTGTATTCCCTCAATTTCCCTCACAACATGCACACAAGAGCGCTAGATAATAATCTCAGACTTGAATATAATACTAACTGATTGCATGTGGCGATCTTGTTGATTTGAATCTTGAAGGCAACAGTCGTGGTGCGCAAAAAGTCAGTGTACTGGCCAGCCGTAAAACTCTGGAAGTTACTAATTCCGCGGGTACGTCACTCAAAACACCCCATTGCTGGTCCTGCTCGCAAATACTCTCGAACTGGATTCACGTAGCTTGAGCTTAGCACTGTAGCAACTTTGCAATCTAATGACAACAGTTTTCATACTTTTACTTAGGAGGTGAAGGTGCACGAGAAGGAAAAGGTAACTGTTGTGGGGATAAAAGAAGAGGAGAAAGAGGAGACTAAACAGGAGGAGAAGAAAGAAGAGCAATCTGAGGGAAAAGAGGAAGCCAAATCGGAGGGGCAGAAAGAAGCGGAGAAGCCTAAGGAACCTGAGTGGGTACCTATGTTCGTAAGTGCTCCATTTTACACCCTGCCCAGCAGAATTTATTAGTTGCTCATCCCCTGGGAGATCTCCAGAAGCTCTCTCGAAGTCCTAAACCTGGATTTCAAACTCTGAAGGGATTGTATTTGTGTTAGAGCGTCAACACCTAGCTTGGACCCCCTAACTTAGGGCTGGGCAGCTTTTGAAATATAATGAATCGGCAAGGTAGCCAAGGCACCGAACTCCCGCAGTCCCTTTAAAACTTGCTTCGTTCTTCTTCAAGAACGTGAGAAGGCAGTCAAAGATTTTTCTCGGTGCATTTTCCGGTTCACTTTAAGTTCGCTGACATATTGAGTTTGCTCAAGAGAGATAACTAGCTCCTGAACCTACAGAATAGCTGACGTGAGGGAGAGAAAAAAAAAAAAAAAAAAAAAAAAAAAGAAAAAAAAAGAGGGGGGGGATATGCAGGACACGTGTTGTATGAAAATCATGTACAGATCAAGAAATTCAAGTTTTTGATAAATGATGCGATTCATTGCCTTGTACTTGAATGAGAGAAGGATGCTTTTCTTAACGGAGCTTGGAGGTTATAACTTTCAAAAGAAGCTCTCATCTGTATGATAGCAGAAAATGGACTTAAGATTAGCAGTAGATAGTGGCATTTCTTAAGGGATAAACGTAGTTTGTCGTTTGTCTACTAGGTTCATCCACATCATCCACAGCTTTAACAGAAATACTGTCAGCGCCCGTGGTTCATGACACTGTACGAAGTCAAGCATACCTGAAGCTTTCTGCTCTGTGCAAGGCACCCAATATTTACCTGATTCGTTTCTGAATCCCATCTAGCCTTAAAGTATGGTGGAGATTGTATGGAAAACATGCAATCTCAGCATATTCCATCGTTTTGGACCACCTAGAGCTGAAGGATCTGACCTAATCACAACGTCAGGTCCTTCCCTTACCAGTGGACGATGCTAGCACTCCCCCCGTAATCTTTCCAATGCAGTAAACTATCCAATGGATATTATGAAGCAGTTCCTAAACGCTTGTCCTAAAAAAAGACGGAAGGAATTAATCAAGCCTGCAATCCAGCTGCGTGTAGAGCGGGAAGCTCACATTGCTCAGTTGAGCCCGAACAACATGGTGACCAGCATGAAACACATGTAACCCATCCTTAAGTTGCATAGTCCGTCTAGATGTTCACTTGACGCACTAGTACAGGACCTCATGCTTATGCCTCATTGCTCCCTCTCGGATTAAATGCGGCCGCTATACCACCTGGACGTCCATCATTGCAAGAGGTAAACTCTATCCCTGCACAAAAGTAAGGAACCAAGATGGTGCGGGTTTTTGCATTTGGTAAATTTGGTAAGTCCGAGCTACAACAGATCTCGACGCATGTTTGAAAATGTTACAGTGTCAACATGATCGCGCACCATAATTCATAGCTGTTGGAGAGCTTTTCAGCACCAGAGGAAGAAGGTTGGAAATGGGCATCCTCACATTGAGCCAATGGTCCCATTCTGTCAGTCAGATTAAGACTTCGACAAGGCAAAATGATAAAGCTGCTATGTTTGAGAAGACTAAATGATGCTGACCATTAAAATACTGTTTTAGAATTGGGCGGTCAGATTAAAACTATTGAACCATGACATATCCTTTTTGCTTCGAATGGTTGCGAAGACACCCGGCTGAAGCGAGTGACTTAGCCACACGTCAGAACCGTCATGACATCCGTAGAAATCTATAAGAAGGATTAGCCGTAAGTCAACTTAATTTTAGCTAAACTCCAAAACTCACAGCAGAAATTTCAATAAAAAGGAAGGCCCAAACAGGGGGACCACTCTCGCCAAAAACTGCGTGCAAGAAGTTTGAATGCAGACACAAGCACATGCACATTCACGAGGGTAAATCATGACATGCAAGAGGCATAAAATCTACATGCAGCGCGGAATAACGTAGCCTAACCACGAACGGAATTCGCAACCACTGCCTAACTCCAAAATTATCACCACTCAACTGCGAACGCCAATCTCCACGATAACGGATTCGCATACAAAGGTTCCGCTACACTGACTACAACCACGACACACATTCCTGCTTATTCTCTGCTCATGAAGGAAGCAACATAGCGCTTCAAAGATGTCAGACGGTATTGTAGTAAAATAATTTAAAATAAAATAAAATAAAATAAAGTGGATATGAGAGCGAGGGAGTATTAGATAACCGCTTTGCAGGCAGACAGATAGATATCACTTTGTCACCTGGAGCATACGCAATGGACAAGTAGTCACAGAACCCTAAACAAAGGGCCCCGCAACACGACGCCGTGGTCCTCCGCGTCAGGGCACTTCAGCTCCACGGTGATGACTCTGAAGCAAAGCAAATCCACCCCACGCCCACTGTTCCCTTCTGCCCTTTGGGAACATCCGGGAGCCAGTGAGGGTTTCCCTCGCGGTAACGCGTTCCAATCCCCCACCCGTGCCATGTCACCACCACCCTATCCCCGACCCACTCCTTGTGATTCGTCCACTCAGGCATGGATCAGCTCCAGCTGGACATTTTGAGTCAAACCACTTACGGGTCCGGCCACTAATATTACGATTCATGTTCCATGGTTTTGGTGGTATTGTGTCCCGAATTCCTACGTGGACTCCGCGAATTGCTCTGAGTCACCCTAATTGGCCCGAGGAATACGATGCACCTTGCCCGTGTGAATAGGGTTCAGGACGTTCGTATGCTGACCTGGCGGGTATGAAGCGGAAGGTAACCACTTTCCAATTAACCACCATAACTAGTTGGGTTATGGTGTGTCCCATCCTGCTTTAATTGGAATATTTCATGTGGACCCATAAATTTCACATAATTATCATAAATAGTAATTTTCCAATAAAGGCCATCAATGAGAAAATCATGTTTTAGAGAACAAACTAAATAAAAATAGATGTACAAAACTTTCTTCAAGGAATCCATCGTTGCTTACAAAGATGAAACTTATCAAGAGTATTTCATCATTTTTCAAATGAGTATTCCATATTATAATTCTTTAGATGTGTTTGGTACATTTTTTCTCACGTTTTTTCTGGGTTCTGGTTTTTTATCTTCTTATTTATACGATATTGGAATCCATAGGATTCTACAACTTAAAAGACTGTAATTTTTATTCAAGGAATATATTCATTAATAGAGATATATATACATGGTCTTTATCAACAAGATTTATTCTATTTCTACTTAAAATATAACTAAAAACTTGTTGTGTGTTGTATATGTTACAATAAAATTAGACTTAATAACTGCATGGTTTTAAGATAAATTATCACTTCACATTATTATTATTTTCAATTTTAAATTCTACAAAAACGTAATGGAGGATATTTTTCTTTATTTCTTTACTCGAGAATATCATATATATTTATCAAAAATTATACCTTTGCCTAGAATATCATGCATATAATTTCAAGTCCTATAAATTTAAGTTCTCCAAATACTGCAGTAATTATTTCAAAACTTATTTGTGAGAAGAAATCTATTTCCTGTTTTGCACAAACTAAACAATACACCTAATTCAAACAAATTATTTTAAAAAAAAATACCCTCACAATAATTAATGTTTAATTAGTAAAGTAGTAGTAAAATGATATGAATGATGTTAAAAAAGAGCCAAGTAAATTAAACTACTCCAATGCAAGAAGAAACAAAAGACATATATACTGTAATTCCAGAGATGAGTACATGTGCACTATAGTTGTAAACCTACGAGTTATTTTAAGTCTTAAAACACTACGTCCAACAGCCAACGTTTTAAAAGGTATGTAAATGATTTAAAAGATAAAGTAATATGTACACAATGTCATACTTTTCTCAACTATATGTGTATATGTTTGTGTCTATATTATGATGTAAAATATCTGTTGTGTGATAATTTTATGTTTAATAAATAAATGTACAATGTCTTCCAAAAATTCATAAAAAACATTCCATTTGTTTAACTATTCAGTTCAATTAGTAAATTAAAAAATAAAAATAAAAATAAAAATCAACCCATATACAATAACAAAAACAACACAATATTTTCAAAAGCACGAGAATGATGTTTTTTAACTTTTGAATTCATTAAATCTCAAGTTCTTCCTCACATGTAGATTATCCATGCAACTATTTGATGCATCAAACAATAAGGATGTAAATTATTTTATTATTTATTACATTGCTGCATGAATTTTATTTTGTTTGTGTATCCTCAATGAAAGAATAAAATGATGCAAGTACAAAACAGATGGATGGGGGACTAACTTGAAGGTGGATGAGTGGACATTTTAAATGAAGAGAAATGTTTACCAATGTTTCATGTAAGAAATTGTCTGAATGTATTTACAAACAAGGGCCCAAAATTTATTCATGATGAATAATTTAAAACGTAATATATATCTAATTTTAGACAAAACTTCAATCAAAATATCAACCATGTATTGAAATCAATATGTGTGTGTGTGTGTGTATATATATATACATATATATATATATATATATATGTATAACTTGTGATATATTTATTTCAAAAAAAATTGAGATGTATATATAGTACAAAACTTTGAACCTGCTGAAGTCATTTATGCACAGCTGTATTTAGCCGAGTAAATTTTCTCACACTTGGCTTGACTCATTGAATCTAGAATAAAAATGTAACAACTTGCATGGTGTCTGAGATTTGTAATCTTGACACCCACACAATTCATGGAAGCACATGTAACTAGAGAACATTTTTGATCCCCAAGCAAGCTTCAAGAGCATAAGATTAGCATATAACAACTCAATGCTTCTTGGATCATTCACCATTCACTCAAGCATATCACAAAAATAAACAATTCAGCTACTTGTACACATTCTACAAGGTATTTAAGTAACAACCCTGTCATTGCTCCAATTAACAAAAGGAAACCATGCAAAATACAACAATCTTTGTTTGTGCTTACTCCCATTTTTTTTTTTTTTTTCTGCAATCACCCTCTTTTTCATAGCTACATGTGTGTGTATGTGTTTATATATATATATATATATATGTATATGTTTGAATGAACGTATTCGTCGTTGAGGATGGATGGATAAATAGTTGAGAACTCATGCTATGCTGTTGGCGCTGCCCAATTGTCACCAACTTACTTAGATTTGAAAGGGAGTTTTGGAGCTCGGGCCGGGCCTCATCCCATCCGGGCCCGTGGGTTGACCCGTGATTCTTCAAGGGGGGGGGGATGGGATCTCCATCGTGAGATGTGACAGCGCCGCAGGATGCGTGGCGGCAGGGGAGTGGGAGGGGTGGGGTCCATGGAAACCCTGCTAGTCCCCCCTAACCGTCCTGAATTTGGTGCTGGGTTTGAGTCACGAGCTCAGTGCGCACTGGCTTCGGAATCTTCCCCCTGCACCGAACCTTTGCCTTTTTCCTTTTGGCTTCCATCGCTTTCCACAATCCACTAAACCCTAAACCTGTTCGATCCTTTTTCCGAAACTTTTACTTTTTACTGTGAAAAGGTCGGGCCAGAGTCACGGTGAAATTGTCCCCCACCTAAGATGAATGTTGGAGTTCATCCGAACACAAATCGTCGCCCTTGGACGTATGAACATGGATGATTTCTATCGACTCATGTGGTGGATGAGATGTGGTAAATTGCAATGTCGATTTGTGCCTTTTTTTAGCATGAAATGTTCTGTATTTGTATCAAATGCGATCTACTATCTTTTATGGCATACTTGTACATACATATACACACGTGTATATATAAATATATGCACTTACATACAATTCAAAACGTATCTCATTGAAATATGTGACATAAAACAAATAAAGTCATTGGATGAAAATAATAAATAATAAGTATTAACCCACATCAGAACTTTACTACTCAAACATACACACATACACAGATCCTTTATGAAATCTTTGAAGTTTTAAAGATTTTCTTTCATTATATGATTACAAGTCATGTATATTTTACACACAAGAGTCCCACAGTGTCCAATTTGTAAATATCTTTGACAAAGGAACCAAACTGGATTGTTCATGGATTTCAAAAAGTTACCATGATTTTAACTATAAATAAATAAATAAATAAATTACACAAAGAAAAAAAAGGGGCTAACTGGATGAAGTTATTGAATTCTTGATTTAATTGCATTATGTCATAATATATACCAAAACAATCAAATGTAATAATAATACCTTGTGATGTACTTCAAAATTTACTAGTTACACTAATTGCCTTTTTCACTTTTTTCAAAAACAACAAACATGCTGTAAGGAACGGTTTTGGGACCGTATTAAATGCGCATGAAGTGCAGACGTTTCTCACCGTCGTCCAGTTTAAGAACACAAGCAATACAATAAAAATGAAAACAGGAGAGGCAGATATCTGATCATGTGGTAAAATAAAGAAAGAGAGGAGAAAAATGGAGGGGAAGGTTTTGAGTGGGCGTTGGACCAGATCCCGAAGCAGCTCAGGGGAGCAGAGAAGGGGGGGGGGGGAGGACGGGGGGCTGCAACAGCAGGAGGATGCTTGCGCTCAATGCCGGACCTCCTGTCGCGGCTTCCATGCCAAATCGGTGATGATGCAACCCTACATCGCAGTCTCGCGCAATGGGGGTTGGCTCTGGAGAGACATCGATGTGTAATATAGGAGCTCCACCCAAACATCCCCAAATCTAGCCTGCTGTTGAGGTACGAAACCAGCAAGCCAAGATTACCAGTGTCACGACACTGAGAGACTGTAGCAAGCGGAGGGGCTAAAAACGACCCCCGGGAGCAGGTTCCGAGGGCCACGTAGTATTCTTCTTCCTCGGATCGGCTAATAATAACGCCCTCCTCCACCAGTATTGTAGAATGTTGAGTCACCAGCAGGTGCAGGAGCAATCGGGGATAAAGATGATAACAACTTAAACAGAAGCTAAAATGGCAAGCAGGAGGAATTAAATACGCTGGGAGAAGTGTGGGCGCAGTGTAACAAAACCCATTTTCCGAGGCCCCAGAATTACGCGCGGAATATTGGAGGCCGCTCAATGCTCTGCTGATGGGGGACGTGAGAAAGTGGTAGGGGGGAGAAGGCTATTCCTGGAATCGGATGCCTTAGGCTTCCTATTCTGGGAGCAAATAAGCAACGACATTCCTCTATCCACCATGGGTCCCAGCAGGATTAAATATACACACCGCATGCGAACGCACGGGAACTCGGAGGGCCGTCTTGGGAGGGGCGGGGGAACGGCACGCGAACGTTCCAGAGTGGCGGGCACCTGGAGCGACAGAAGCTCCGCGGCTGCCCTGAGGAGCGGGGTGCAGGACGGGAAATGCAGGAGGGCAGCGGGCAGCGGGACGGGGAATGTTTGGACGGTCTGCGTAGAGTGCAAGCGTGCATAATAAAAGAGAAGGCCCAGGCCCCTTTGTCTCTACATTGAGAGTCCAGGGCTCCACTACCATCGCCGCCTCCTCCTCCTCGGCTCACTCACTCTCTCTCTCAACTCTGCTTGTCTGTTCTCATCGTGATTCTGCACTGCTTTCGGAATCTAATCGATTTTCCCTTTGCCGTCCTCCTGCACAATTGGATCCTCGCTAGAGGTGTAGGTGCGCCCGAGAGCGACCAGGATACCTCGGACCAGTGTGTGTGTGTGTGTGTGTGTGTTTTTGCTCTTGTTGTTTTTGTTGTTGCGACCGCTTGTGATCGGAGGTGAAACGGTGCGGACTCGACTTCATCATGTCTTGCGGAAGCGGATGCGGATGCTGCCCCAAGTGCGGCTGCCAGGCGACCTGCACGTAAGTTGTTGGCGTTAAGCCATCGGCTCTGCAGTGAGGTTTTGGCCAGGACTTTGCGAGTTTGGGAGGTTTTCCGTGTTTTGCTTGGGCGGGGATTGGGTAAAGTTGGGTAGATCGATGGGGAGTGCGGGGGTTCGGGAAGTAAACGTGAAATTTTAGGGTAATTGGGGTGGATCGAAACGCGGACGGGCAGGTCTGAGGGTTTGCGGTCTAGGAGCATGTCGATCGGTCGACGGTGGTTGGTATTGTGATTCGGAGTGGATCGAAGAGTGGTGATTTAAAAACATGGGATGGCACACTTGGAAATTATGTGGCTTCTAGGCTTTTTGGACAAGCGGAGAGGTTTCTGTGTGACGGTACTAGGAGGAGTTTAAGGGTTTGTGTCACTTATGTTTAGTGATTTTCATCTTGGTTGTAATTCTCATGAGATGCATTTTTTCGTGTTTTGTGTGTGTGTGTGTGTGTGGCTGCAACAGTTGCAATCAAAGTATGACGTGGTTCGATGAGACCGCGGGTGACTTCAGGTACACAACACTTCAATTGTCATGGATTCGGTGGATTTGTTTTAGAGGTTGATGGTTTGTGTCGGAACAGAAGTAACTTTGATTGGTTTCTGTTTTAGTGGTCTCGGCATTCGTAGAAGAGATCCCACATTCAATGTCTAAGCTGTGCAGTTATATCGACACGAAGAGCGTGTCCGGAGGGAACGGAGAATGCAGTGCCACAAACGGTTGGTCCTTTGGAACCTGCGGTGATGATGATTCAAGCGAATGCTATTTCTCTGAGGTCGTCGTGAACAGCAAGTTCGGTGCTGACAGTGACTGCCTGGACGGTATACCTCTCTTCACAAATAGGAACTCCTTCATCCAGTTGCCGCAGTGAGGGACGTGTTTTTTCTTTATTTTATAGTTTTGTTGAAGTGAATGCTGCAAAGGTGTCATCTCAATTGTCTTGAAGCCAATAAACACTGAGTTGAAATTGTTGTTTGTGATGCAGGGACCTGCGACAATAAAGGAGGAATATCGTTTTCGTAGAGTGGCATGCGAGTCAAATGCGGCTGACGGCCGGCACCAGCGTCTGTCAAGGAGGTCTAAACCTCTCGGCTTGTCAATCATGTTGCGAAGTTTTGGCCTCCTGTACCATGTTACAGTGTCAATATGAGGGACTTGCGAGAGGGGTGTGAAAGGTTAGATAGAGTTGTTTCTTTTTGGTAATAATCATCAGTCAGCAGAACACACCACTGCCTGGACCGCTAGGAGCCAGCAGCAGTCAGTTTTTGGATCCTTCCCGTGTGGACTTCGGTGTTATATGGGCCAGCCGGTTTGCCGACGGCTTGGGCCGATCAACTATATTAGTGTGTGCCAAGTCCCATTACAGAATTCCATCGCCTTTGGTAGCGTTTGTGTGGCGGGTGATGTGCTAACAGGATTAACATACAGTGCACTCTGCGCCGCGTTTGACATCCTTGGTTGTAGCCACACCTGCTTAGAATGCTTTAATGAATGACAAGTAAGGTTCAGGTTTATTGTGGACACTTTTTGTGGTGCGCATTGCAATCAACATATTAATATACTGATTTGCATTGGTCTTTCAAAGAGCTTCAAAGGTTTCGTTCATTGTGGTGGTTGCATGTGGTATCCGTTCTGAATTATTTATTGCGTAGTCTGTCGATTGCAACATCTGGTTACGTGAATTTGTGTTTCTAGTTTTCTGATGAGTGACCCAAAGATTGTAGAGTCCCAGCTGGCTTGGCCATTGTGAAACTGTCGCTTGTACCATGCACATGGGAAATATTCAAGATGTAAATAGAAAGCCTTGGTTGAATGGCTTTTCATTAACTTCGATGCTGCAGTGTCCATATATTCTTGACATCGAATTCTTGTATGAGAATGTGGTCATAATGAGAAGCTCCAGACTTTGGACTCCTTGTTCCAATGGTAGGTCACACCCATTTCGTTGAGATCCGAGGTGCGATACCGGTGGTCATGCGATGCGCCCGAATCGAACCTTATCTCTTTTGTGCCCTCTGGATCCAAAGACGCATTGTCGTGGTATAGTCCAAGATACTCAGTCGCCTGTAAATAGAGCCTTGCGACAGAACAAGGGTTGCTTCGGACAATATTCTACGTTATTCACGGGTCGAATCTTCAACTACTTGCTGTCAATGCTGCTGACAGTCTATATTTGCTTCTCCTTCTTTGTATTTTGTGCTGGACGCTCAATTCGTGCCCGTTATGGCAACTCGATTGATAATTCCCTTGGCGAAGAACGGGAAGAACTCTAGGTGGAACCAGCCAAGCTCCTGAGACTTCCATGAGCATCCGTCAACCTGCTCCTTTGTTTCGGTTATTACCTCGGTTTTTCCTGCACATAGAAACTTTCAAAATTATGCGTTCGGTTGTTCGTTCTTTCAACATCGAGGTAGAATATACCCATTTGGATCGGCTGATTTTACACCATCTGCGGTTTCTACTCTGTTCATCGACTCGGGTCTTTCAGTGGCTCGGATAAAAACCATTGTCACTCCAGTGATCGATGTTGTGAATGTGAAATCGCTGAAAACTAGTGCTCGTGGACCGTGCCTGATGCAGTCGTCACCCTGCCTCATTTCTCATGTCTATATTTCGGCCATTTAATCGTATTCCTTCAAGACCATCTTCTGTAAAGAACACTCCTGGTTGAAGATCTTATGAAACACATGCCACTTCAGAGTTTCGTCACTAGAACTTAGCCATTGGTTTTCTGGAGAGTTAACAGAGAATGTGCATTCAGTCAACAGCATATCTAGTGAAGATCCTAAGTCTAAATGTACACCATCAATCTGGGGAAACATAAACGATGCAGTCATCATTCTATCTCAAGAATTTAGTTGCACACACCAATATGTCATGAATTTCCGTCATTTCAGGAAATCTTTTCTTAAAAAAAAAATCCTCTTCATTTTTATTTATTTATTTTTTTTTTACTTTCCCTGAGATAAACACTGTTATCCAGACCTGTGTGGTGTGAATGCATATCCCACATAGCTTATGAACAGCAGTTGCTTCATTTTTTTCTTCTTTTTTTTACTTGATTTTGGTGCCAATTGTTTATTCCTTGTTGCAGGAATCTTCACACCAGATTCCAACGCTCAGTTTTGCTCAAGCAAGGACTATGGTTTGACACAAATCTGTTACATACTTTCTCCATACATACATCGAGGTGTATACGACTCTCGTCCGCCGATCTGATTACTAACTGCAAAGAAGTGGCGGAGACTTTGTTGGAATGGTTAGACGTAATTGACATTTGGACAAACTAACGTCATCAATCCAAGCTTACCCAAGCTTAACAGGGTGCTCATCAGTACTGTCGCTAACACCCACCATCAAAGCTGTAGTGCTCCAAAAGGATGACTATTGCACATTCTTGAGAATAAGAAAAGGAAGAGTATTGATGCTAGTTATGATCTCAAGGTAAGACAAACGCTTCAACCATTTATGTGCTGACCTTCTCATTTAAAAAGGGCTGAATTGACCGTTAAAGTCCAAAACCATTTAGAAGTGTTACAGTGCTTAATGATACTGACTTCTGAGCGGAGGGATTACAAGATTGCGAAGCATCGACCCTAAACAGAAACTTCGAAGCATTAGCGGTGCTTACATTGGATCGACTCTTGGGATTGAGCTAGAATTCGTGGGATTGTTAAAGAGACGACTGAAGGGTAACATTCTGCGCCACGGGCACGATGTGGAGTAAGCCATCTACTGGTGCCCCTTTAATAGCTGTCCAGCTCTTCGTAAGGCAGAGCTTGCTTTGACCTGCACCAGCTTTTTTATTCCGCGAGTTCTTTGTGAGCCTCATCTTAACTGCCATGAAACCTAGTGCTCAACAACTGCCTTCGCCACTGGTTCGGCCCAGCTGCCGACCAAGCACGGCTTGACATGCCACAAGAGCAAAAGTCATGTAATTTTTTTCATTTTTCATTTTTTGTATTTGTTTATTTTTTTGCTTTGGGTTACATCAGACAGAAAGGGAAGCCTTGGAGACTTACAACTGAACCGAAAGGCGAATCTTCCTTATGGGCACCTTTCCACGGAGGATGACAGGCTGGGTGGAAGACAAGCCTCATCGCCATGGATCATCGCTTAGATTGCAAGCTGGTTGGCTGGCTGGCCAATATTGCGGTGGATTCGAAGGCGTGGTCAGTTGATGGACAAAGGGTGAGGCTCGAGTAGTCAAGGGAGTCTGATCCACTAGGACTCCGGGCAGCCATGATGCAATTTTTTGCAGCGAACGTTGAACTTGTGGTCGCAAAGAAACCTTAAACGTAAAGTGTCTCTTTCTCTCTATCTCTCTTTCTCCCAAAGCTCAGTTCCTGGTCCCATCCACGCAGGTACTGAGAGTGGTTGTGAATGGCCATGCGCATTTGTCTGTACTAAAGAATTTCATTCCACACACACACGCATATATCTCTGTATATATATATATATATATATACATATACATATATAGATATATATCCACACACATTTTCTACATACTATCACAACATCATCCTATCGAGTTATGCAGATACAAGTCTCAGGAATCATGCAAAACTAGTCATGACGAGGCCATGACCATTCAGAGCTTCCAACCCAATTTTTCAGTTTCCAGAATCGAGATCATGAGTCGTTCATGAATTGACGAATTCTGCACTCTTTTGCTTGAAGAACGACACCAGGCAATTGGCCTTGTTTCCAGCTGAGCTGCTGCACGACATGGGGTCTGGTTCAGTGGTTGTGTCGACAAGACAAGCGTGGAGTATATCCGCCAAATGAGTAGACAAAAGAAGGCTAAAAAAACACAAAACAAAAGAAAAAATGAAAAAACAAAACAAAATAAAATAAAGAAAAAATAATACTCATGAATTGGAGTAAGTTTTGGGGTTCAGATGATGCGACACGCAGAATCCAGTGCACATGATTCCAGCAAGTGCCAAAAATCTGTCTCAGCTTTCTTTCGGCCCTTTCCATTACGAAAAGAGCACCTACCCATAAAGAGTCACCAGAATTTGAACACATTTTGCTTGTCGTGAGACTCGACGCGGAGACATGCAGCAGATTTGCTTGAACATCACGATTCTAGAGAACTAAACTTCTGGTACAAAGCCTGTGAAAGCAAACACACCCACATTCTGCAAATCGGCTCCAACAAATTCTCACACTACCAGGCATGACACAGCAGCGGACATGGGGATGGAGATCTCCTGTTCTAAACCCTAACCCTAAATTCTAAACTTTGGATTGAAATTGTGAAACCTGATTAAATATGTGACATGTATGATTGTATTGATGGGTTGTGAGTTTTTTGTTCACAAGAGTGTTTTATTAAACAAACTTGTATTGATGTGTTTCATCAAGAAGCATCCTTGTGAAGTAATCGGAGAGAGAATGATTCAAATGAAGAATCATATATAATTAAATCATGTTGCATGTGCTTTGTAGAATAATAGTAACCCTATTTTGAGGTTTTAAAGAATAGGACAAATGATTTTAGGTGTAAGCTGGTCACAACCAAAATATTTGGAGGTTATTTGCAACAAATATAAGATGAGAGATGAATAAATAGTGTTTAAATTAAAGTTGGCTTTGTAAAATTATTAATGATTTAAATATTTGTGAAAAAATGTACAAACCATGTGAGAGAAGTTTGCAAAATCTTGTATATAGAATGTATCATGTTTTACCAAGAGTATGCGTTTTAATAACTAGTAATATAAATAGAAGATTGGCCACAAAGTTTGTTATGACTATGTAATAATAATGCATGTAAGATGATTTTATTTTATTTTTTTGTTTTTTATTTCTACTTTTTCATATAATCCTTTTCTTTAAATTCTATGTTCAGTAAAAATTTTAAGTTTTTTGTTTTGAATCTTTACAACAATATATGCTAACTCAAAATTAAGATTGTATCTTTCTTTAAAATAGAAGGGCCTTGATACTTGCTGTTTCAAAATACTTTCATTTAACTTTATTTGCATATACATATGCATTTTAAAGCACGAAATCAATGTGATTGTAACTTTTATTTGTGATTTTGTATAATCTATTGCCTTTATTTTAAAAGTTGACACTTACAATCTTATTGTCGTATGTTGATAAGTAAATTTTAAATTGCCTCAAAAGTATTTGGTTGTTTGTATTAAAAAAAAGTCATATATTATGGAAGCATTAACTACATTGATAACAAAAGCTATATGCATATAAGGATATATATATATATATATATATATATAACTTTTCTTTGTTTTCTTGTTTGTTCAACTTATGCAAATATACATGGTTTATAGAATATTCCTAAAAACCGAGTTGTATATAGAAGAAGAAAATCATTCTTCTAAATTTTACAAAAGTATAATTATAACTTACACGTGTTTTAAAAAGTAATTTAATACTAAAAATTTAGATAGTTCTAATCAAAAAATAATAAATGATAAATCATCGTACTGATTTAGAAGTTATAAATTTGTTCGCATAATAAAATGAACTTCTAAATTTTAGGTTTTGTATTGTTGATGAAAATCAATTTGCTGATAGAAACGACACCTTTTTAGAAATGACTTTTTTATAC